GTTACAAATATCTCCCAGATGGTTCAATGCTCAATAATTCTTAGCCAGTGTGATTTTCAACTCTCATATTGTCAAGTGCTAGTAGTACGAGCGTTGCTATCAGTGCAATATGTTACACATCAGAGCATCCTGCCACGTCACTATCTCCTCCAAGCCATACCTGGCGCACCTCAAGATGGCGGTCAGTGCGGTCTTGGAGATTGTGGTAGGTCCCTTTATAGCCATAGAATTTTCTTCGTATGCCTCTCTCTTGCGATAATTCCTATAGCCCAACTTTGTCCTCCTTTTTGATGCATCCGTATCACGCATATGTCGCCGTTTGGCGGGAGTTCGCATCATAGCTTACCTGACCCCGTAAGACAAGCTAATCCTAAAACCACCTTTTCAACAAAGAGGTGTCGGGTAGTTGTCCCGCTGGGCCAAGTGGTTTTTAAGAACTACACATGTCCTTCAACCCTTTAGCATAATTGCCTTTAATGAGACGCAAGTGTCGTTGGAGAACAGCCTATGGGCTGTGACAATAGGTCCTTCCCATAATAGAAAATCGAAGGGGGCCACCCGGTCAGTAACTCCATCGCCGCAGTGGGAAGTAGTCCTCGATAGCACTCTCCATTTATGGTGGGTCCCTGGCCATTCTAATGTTAAGGGTAACATTATGGCTGACAAGCTAGCTAATATGGGCACTAGATCACGCAATGTGATCGAAAGCCCCGGACCCTCTAAAGGTGTTATCAAGTCCACGATTCAAGATTGGTTGGACAAAGAACAATTGAAGAGATAGCGTGAACAAGATGGAAATAGACAGGCCAAAATGGCCTTGGGGTAGCGAACTACACCCTGAATGGGCGAAGGAATTCGAACTTATGTCCAGGCGAGATGCAAGGCTGATCGTGAGTCTGCTGACTGGCCATGCGCGCCTGAACTTTCACCTGTCTAAGATGGGCCTGGTGGCATTGCCCTCGTGTTGATGGTGCGATGCTCATCCGGAGGAGGCGCTACATGTCCTATGCCTTTGTTCTGGTCTGAGTGAGCGAAGGCGTGGGGTCTGTGGTGCCTTCACCTTTGATCCTTCTCAGCTGAGAAAAATGAAACTGTCGGAAATCATCAGAATGTGGAAGGGCATGGTCCCGGCCGAAGTGGAGATCTATTGATCTTTGCTTAGGGTGTCAGAACCGCCGGGCTCTTGGGACCGCCCAAAGGCGGTACCGAGTTGGCTGGGTCGGCATATCAATGATGAGGGAACAAAGGGCTTGCCCAGGTTCACTGGTGTTGTTAACACTCCTCTACCCCATTATTATTATTATTATTATTATTATTATTATTAAGTCTACACGCAAAATCGTCTATTGCAAATATGTCTGCGAATAAAGAAAGTCTAATTTCGAATGAAAGTTTGTTAGACTTTTTCATTAATTATGATCGCTTTATAACTACACAGATATTTTATTAGACTTGTTAGTAAGTGTAATTAAAAAAGCATATTTAACTCGTTAAGTACATTTATAAAATAGAAAAGACAGAATAAACAGAAATTTCAATAATCTTCTTCTAATTCATCTTCCTGCAATTTCAGGCGGTAACTTACACATCTCTAATATGCAATTTCGCTCTCTATATTCCGCATAGCGCGATATCATAATTTTCACTTGCTGCATACTGACACAATAAGATATTTTAATAAGACATTTTAATCTTGTCTGTCCAGCTAAAAAGTTGCATAATAAGGACCTCTTGTCTCTCGGATCGTGTTTGATACGGTCTTGAAAATTCCAAACGCTTGCATGGTGAGCCACTATATGTTTTTAAAGTTTGCGATGTCATCCTTCGATGGTACTTACAGTTATCTAAAAAATATTTAACACAATGTCACACACATTCTAAATATCAGGAGGGCTTGTCACCTTCCTTCTCTAGGCACACAATATACAGCTGGCTGTAGGTTCCACTTCACTTATGGTTTGGTACAAAATATTTAAAAACTCAACAACACCAGACGACCACAACATTGAGAGCTTCAAAGGGCAACCCGGCTTAACTGGCTCTGAGCATAAATTGATGTCACTGCAGTGCCCCTTACCCGGAGATACTAGAGTTAAGAGTCCCGACGCACAGTGCATAAGATCTCGAAAAAGCTGGCCAATACAAGAAATTGTCAGAAATTTTGTAAAAAATACGTTTTGAGGCCACTGGTTAAGGATTTCATAAGATCCAATATGGCGAACAAAAATGCTCAAAAAAGGTTTTAATCGTACAGAAATTGGTTTTTAGGGTTCTTTCAGATCATATATTAAGAAGTTGATAAAAAAGTTTCAAAAGTCAAAAAACCAAAATGGCGAACAAAAATGCTAAACATGGTTTTGATCGTACAAAAATTGGAGTTTAGAGATCTTTCAAGGCCCAAATTCACAATTTGATAAAAAAACAAAACGGCGAAACTTTAAAAAAACTATAAAAGCGTTTTCTTGTGAGGTAGGATGGTTGTAAATGGATTAAATAATCTTGATATATCAATAAGTTTTATTATATCTAAACTGAAATTACAGTACTTCTTCCGAACTCTATGGAATTTCACTAGATGGGTCAATTGAACAGGTATTAGCTCCTGGTGGCAAAAGAAGTTGAACTGCCTCACGTGACAAGGATTTGCTAACTTTGGGAGGAGTCTTCCGCATGCTGATGATCAGGGGATCCGATGACCTCAGCAATCGGTGAAAAACATCTTCCATCGTTTTTTCCCTACTATATTTTTGGGGGAAATGTTGGCGATTCTGTCGAATATCTCTATTGCATGATTCCTGGTCATCTTCTGTCAACATGCCTATTGGTAGTAAGGCAGTTTCAATAATTTCAGGTCCGTGGAGCAGCACTTTATGAATGGTCATTGGGATGCAATATCAGGAATACTTATCGACGAATATTATAGCTGTATCAATGCAATATTCTCGAAACTCCTAAATTTGTACACGAAAACAGCAACAGCGAGTAAGCTCTTCCTCTTCGTTTGGTAAACCGGCCCTTACGTGCACTTCACTCTCGCATGCCCGGAGACCAATCGAGACTTGACTCGAGACTTGTCTCGGCTGCGGCGGTGCCCCACTAGTGGGAGATACCTTGTTGGGAAAACCCAAGTGTAGGTTGGCACTAGATTCGCCATCTAGCGGAGGAAGATCGCTGCCACCCCCGCGACCAAACCTTCAGCACATTTACGTGAATAACATCCTTCGCCGTTCACGGGCCCGGAATCATCAAATGAAGGGTAGCCACATGAGCTACCGAATTTCACGATGTTCTGTCATGCAACTGCCCGTTATTGTAAGTTTCTTTTACGCAACCAGTTACTACTCTTTTCCAAATTGATTGCGCGAAAAAGAAAAGATAGCCCTTCACCCGAGCTTCAGGAAAATATATTCCTACAGCATTCAGAGCTGCCAGTTCGTAATCAGTGTAATTTCAGAATTCAGTTCGTACCCCAATCGTTCACAATGCTTCTTAATTTGTTTTTGCACACAGTACACTAAGGATATACATCCATTGCCCTGTCATATAGGGTATACAATTGTTAAAACATGGAAGGGACTGTTTTAAAGGTGGCATCTCCTAAAATACTGAGATGAATAACATATGTCTTAAGCTTCGTCTGTGTCGTAAACGAGGTATCGTTGTCACGTCGATGCGATATCGTATACATTATTTCCAAGTCTGCAATAGGTTTCGGCATTATTTTACTATGCTGTCGATTTACTCCTCGTAACGATCCCTTCCTTTCCGGCATTAACACTCGTACAAGTGTTTCCTCACTGGGTAAGGTGCCAATTCTTTCTTGGACAATAGCTGTTGGCTGATTTCGTGATTTTGCATCAACCAGTGTACTCACTTGAATTCTCTGATCGCCGAGGTTGGTGGTTGTGAATTTTAGTTTTCAATACATCTATTTCAGCTTCTAAATTTGACCTAGTAACAAACGGCAAGCAAATTGCCGGCGGCGACAAGCGGCATTGCAAATACCTCTGGGAATATTTCTAATAAAAAGTTCTTCCATCTCTGGTCTTTCCGTCAGAAGGGGTAATCGAAATTGCCATGTTATCTTGTGAGGAGACCTGCGTCTTACTCTCAGTCGTTTCTAAATAAATAAATAAAAAAATAATTAAAAAAAACATATTTTTTAAGAGCTTATTTTTTTAGAACATATTGTTAAAGGCAAACATTTCTATCTTATATTTTGTAGTTTTGAAATTTTAACTTTCCGCCACTTTCGAAAATAGAGTTCACCGGAAATGAGACAAGCACAAATTTTTAACCGTTTTTTGGTATATAGGAGAAGAAAATTCAAAGAAAAAATTTGGAGCTGTTTTTGAGAAAATCTTAAAAAAAATTTATATTACGCAAAATTTCTGGAAAACTACTCATCTTTTCGAAAAATTGTACATGAACTTATTTCAAGACTTATTTGACTTTCGAGATTTCATTACAGAAAAAAATCTTTATCTTCAATATTGTAGATGTAGGAAGACGCCAAAAACAATTTTGAATTTCTGCATCTTTCGAAAACTCAGGGAAATGAAAATTAGATTTGCACCATTCTTTTAAGAGTACATTGCAATACCCGAGGACAATGTTTAATCAAAAATGTATGTAAAGAATCCCCAAAAACCAAAATATCCACTTCAACCTCAGAGTATCACGAGTTCATTTAAATTCATCATGGAATATCTATTTTGGAGAAAATTGGCTGAATGGTTTAAGGGCCTCAGATGGACATACCAACAGGCATACAGAAGTTTTGCAGTCAACCAATTTTTTGATTTCAAGAACCCACAAAATGTGGATTCTGACTACACAGTGTTAGAGAAAGTAATTTACTACAGATAGGAAGGTTTATCCCTTTTTTTGATATCAGGGTCCTACAATGCTAGTTTTTTAGTAATATATTATACTAAAAGACAAATTTTGTACGCAAAGTTATGTTTATCTGTCATCATATTTATAAAGTCAATTAGAATGTGCCTTTATATTTGTTTGATGATAGATGAATTTAAAGGTTTTTTGAATTCATGTTTGAATCAGCAAAGAACTAATAAACCATAGTTTTGTATGCATCATGGGTGTTACTTGAAGTTTTTGCCCTTCAAGTGACTTCCAATTCCATGGGCAGGGCCCTTCGGGTTTGGAAGTACCTCCCGGGCAAAAGCATCTTAACGCCCTGGATACATAAATAACTATTCAATTTGAAGTATTTTCATAGAAAAAGAGATTAATTTGATTTTGAATTTAAATAAAATTTATTTATTTATATGAACTGCAACAGAAAACTGATATAGCTGCAATCAAGATATTTTACAAGTTTGAATTAAAGCTTAACTTATAAATTAAAACTTAATTTTTAACTTTTCACCTTAGAATAGTGTCAAAAAGATGCACATTTTTGAAAATGTTTGTTAGATTTAAAAGAACTGACATGTTAATTTCTAATTTCTTTTTTTGGCAATTTCAAAATTTGTAGCACTTGCTTTTTTGAAAACAAATACTGAAATAAATGCTCCCAATTTTTGGAAAATTGTGATTTTTTCTTCTGTGGAAAAGAAAATTAAGGTTACCCAAAGTAAACAATATGTGTATTTTTATTTATTTGTTGAACAATTTGTGATATTACTTTCTTTTTTCAGCAACCTCTTCACTGTGAGATAGAGCACAGTCTTGGTGTGAACTGCTTACATGCAGGGACGGTCTTGTGCAGAGTATCATTGGACAGAGGAGGATATGTTCCTGGTGAAACAATAGGGATAACAGCAACTGTATACAACAAAAGCAATGTTACTTTAAAATCTACCAAGGCTTCCCTTACAGAGGTAATGGGTAATAATAAATTCTCGGCTATCCAGGAGACGCTGCGTCATTGGCTGGGGTGCCTGCTAGCTGTGAGCTTCCTCAGGAAGCTTCCTGAGGAAGCCTGCGACATGTCAGGCGAAACGTTGGCACCCAAGCCAACGACGCGGTGTCTCCCGGATAGCCGAGAATTTATTGACTCGAGCCGCAGAAGCTTATGTGTACTAATGGGTAATTAAGCAATTTGAGGTAATGGGTAGTTACACAATTTACGTTTTTAAATGAGGGTAAGCCAAAAATAATTTATTTTGAATCTGAACAATATTGTCAACTATTCATAGATAACACATGAATGTAAATTTCAACACAATTTATTCATATCCAGCATCCAGTGCTGAGAGAGCAAAACACATGAAAACTTTAATCAGAGCAATCAACACCTATAATCTCAGAATTTAATTTCAGGGGCAATAGTGTAAAGCATAATATGGAAAAGAAAGCGCAATGGAACTTTCTGTTTGATTTTTTTTTCTCTAATGCGTCTTTCTTCATGCTATTTTTCTTTGAAATTAGCAGATGAATACATAAATCGTTCATACTAGGGAGTCTTCAAGAAAAGGGAATCGATTCTGTTAAATATTCTGTAATTAAAACAAATATGTGCATTGGCATAACCAAGACTTTTATCACAGGAAAAGTAAGAATAATAATTATTATTATTATTAATACAGGTTAAGTGGCATATAATAATACAATAATTAAATATCAATCAATTATAAATTTATAAGATAACTTAACAATTAAAAATTGATGGCATTTCAATACAATTTTTCTTACAATCAAAATTAACATACTATTTTATTAAATTAAAATTAATTAAAAAGAGCTTTATTTTATTTTTAAAGGAATCAATCATTAATACACAAAGAATCAAAATTTACTGTTTTTTGTTTTGTAAGATTAAATTTTAAAAAAAGTTTATTCAACTATAATTGAACAAACATATTCAATGTATCATGTCTCTGTGAATATTTTGGAAAAAAAAAGTACCCTAAAGATTTTATTTTTATATGTGGTGTATACTAAAGATCTACAGTCATTATTAATCTTAAATCACATTTTCACCCTACACAAGGTGCTACAGGTCTGCTCTACACTGTAAGGGGTGGAGGTGGAGCAACAGAAATGTTGCGCCTGAATTGATTTAAGAAGAGTTAATTTCAAATACGAGAATGTAGTTTAAGGTATATTTTGTGTAAACAGAGGATAGATGTTTGAAGATTAGGAGGGAGCAGTTGCCCCGTGCTCCCTTAGGGTAGTGTATCATTGACACATGCAAGAGTCAATCAGTTGTAGTACTTACGAGACTACTTCATAATATTTGGCTAATGTGCTGTTTGTATGGGAATTCCAGTTAATTTTACAAAAGTTGATCACATATTTATACAGATCTTATTTTGAAGAAAAGATGATTTATAGCAATGCAGACCACTTAAAATGTATCGAGTAAACCTTGCAATTTCACAACAATTATCATGTTATTTAATTTTTCCTAGTACAATGTATCCAAAACAAGTAATTTCTTACAGACTATCCAGTATTTGGCAAGGCACAAAGTGGTCCAATCAGAGACAAGGGAATTAGCAACTTTAAGCAGAGGAAAAATACGACCAGGAGAAAAAGATGAGTGGACTAACGAACATTTATATGTTCCACCACTTCCCCCAACCAATCTTCGAGGATGTCATCTGATAAAAATTCAATATGATGTTTACGTAAGTCAATATGTTTGATGCATGTAGACAACAAAATCTTGCAATTTTTTCATTTTAAATTAATGATGAAATGCAAATTCTTAGTTTATTAAAATATATATTTGTTAAGTAAACAAGCCATAGATTCAAACAACGAGCATTTCTTACAACCTGTATATTAGGGATTTTGTAATAATTTCTGTTTACAGTTTATTGTTATTCCAAAAAGCTTTGAGAAGGAAATTAAGCTGCGACTACCAATAATGCTGGCCACTTATCCTCTGCGGTCACCAGAAGGTTCATTACGTCACAAGCTTGGAACACACTATCCATCAACACTTCCAATATTTCGACCTTGGTTGGAAGAGAAACCCATAACATAACAATTGAACTTGGACTGAATGTCAACTCTGAATTATCAACTTACTAATAGCAACTGTGAAGAATATATTCACATGCCCTCTCACTAAGTTAATGTAAAAATGATGGGAAAAAAAACAAAAAAAAAAATGAATGTTAACACTTTATAATTAAATTAAGAAATATTAAAATATTGATATTCTAATTGTATATAGTATGGCTAATAAAAAAATTTTTCCTAAAACAGTACAGATCATTCCAATCCTTTTGTGGAATTTCCTCTTCTGAGAAGAACCTTTCCATTTTACAATACAACAGTGTATAGGAAAAGCATCCCTAATTATTTTTTTTTCAGTCATTTTCAAAGCACAGGACATTCTTGGCACTACTTACAATCCAAGTTTTATACAAGGCTACTCAAAATAAAGTATCTTTCTTGTATACTCAATTATCTTGTTACACAAATTACAACACTATTTGTCATATTAGCTCTCAGCAAAAAGTAACACACACTTAATTAGAATAAAAAGGTATAAAAGAATTGGAGGTGACTTTGGAACAAAAATTCATCAAGACTTAAGGTGAAGTCGTAGGCTTCCGCGGCCAGTAATGTGGGTAATCTGGGCTGTCCGGGTGACGCTGCGTCGAAGGCTGAGTTCACAACTCAGCCTTCGACGCAGCATCACCCGGACAGCCCAGATCACCCACAAGACTTAAGGTATTACTGTCACACCCAGCTCATTCCTTCCTCTTCATTCCACAGGAGAAACAAAGCTCTTGGATCTGCATGCATCATGATATGTTCTCAACACATTTTGGGTGGGAGTAAGATGAATTTGAACTTTATTCCTTCAGATTATGAAGGATAATAATAATAATAATAAAATAATAATAATAATAATTNNNNTATATATATATATATATAGTACTGCATTTGCAATTCTTCAGACACACAAATTTATATTCTTTGTTAATTTTTATGGTATCTTATAATACACGCAAGGACAATTTCCTGAATTTATACTAGGAATACCATTGCATATCCTCAACATGCAATTCTTTTTCAACTTGCATCATTAACTACATATGAATAAAATTAATTATATTTTAAAAGTATGAAAGAAAGAAAAGAATAAATGGAAAGCATTTATATAAGAGCTCTTTTATTTAAAACCAGTTCAACATACAAAATGTTCAGTAACAAAGACATACAAAATGCATAGTACAAATACTTTTAGTAAGTATTTATTGATATTCAAGTTAAGACTCAAATCCATAAAATGGAATAACAAGAAGAACTTTTCTAAACTTTAACACAAAGACCAGGGATCAGTATACAAACCTAACTTCACTGAACAAAGTAACTTAAAAGGAAATACTTTCACATTAAGGATGATGCAAAATATAAAAAAGTTTTGAAAATCTTCTAAATGTATAATTCCTCTATGTCCCTGGTCTATGTTTCTAGCTCACAGATTCAGCAGTTTTCTTCTCTCTTTGAGACAACTACATTTAAAGAGGGAACTGTCAATGAGTATAATCATTCCTACAGAACACGGCAAGTAGGATTACAGCTGCAGAAATATACAGCCACTAATGAACTTTGAGCAGATAGGCTTTTCCAATCAAGTTCAAGATCAGGCAAGCTTTTGTCAAAACTACTGATACAACAATAGTTTTCATCATGAGCAAAAAGTGTTTAATTCAAACGACATACTTCCTATTAACCAGCTGTTAAGAGTAATGTCTTGCAGTAATCCATGCATTCAAAATTGTAATTGGCAAGCAGCATTACATGAACAGCTGAGAACAATGATTGGCCAGGGATGCCTACATAGTCCACATGTGATAAAAATAATTCTCCTCTCTGTTCCAAGTGGTTAATTATATCGTTTTCAAAAGTAGTCCAATATCCTTTTTCAATTTTTTTGAACTTGATAATGGACTAGATAATAATAAAGACAATATATCAGCATACAAAAGCTAACATAATTTATTCATACACTTTGAGTAAGAAATGTAACTAGTTATTAAAAACTATAAAAGACTAACCAATATTTTTATTATTTCAAGAGAGACTTTTTGTACATTGCTAATCAGAAAATGTTTACCTAGCTCCTCATTAATGATTCTGCAACATAGTCAACCAACAATTCAAGCCATTCAAGATGTCATTGGAATTTTATTTATAGAAAATTTGAACACAAAGATGGATTCAGAAAATGACGTTTTTAAGGTTAAACATCAAACCAGGAACAGGAAATATTCTTGTTTTTCCATCTACATTCAATATTAACCCTGCACAATCACTGATGCAATCTTACTGCAAAAATTTCACACTGGGTTATGTGTCACTCCAATATTTATTTCATTAAATTCTAACTTTTAACATTGTACAGACTTTTGCAATAATTCTTTTCCCCAAATTCATCATCTGGTTGATTGTAGTTAAAATACTAATTAATTGAAATTAACCAAGTTAATTAACTTAATATCCAAGAACAATTTCACAATATGTATGAAGGTAGAAACTTTGAAAAGTTAATTACAGATCAGGTTTATATTCCTCAAAAAAGTTCTAAAATTATGAACCATTAATTGACAATCTTAGAGAGAAACCAGCTCAAACAGCCACCTCGATTAACCTGTCACATCCACTATAGAGCATTTTTTCATGGAACTGATTGGTTTTTTCAGACACGTGTAAATATTCCATTTTCAGTGGCCACCTGCCTAAGTGGTCAGAGACCAGGCACATTTCTTTGATCAGCCTTTAGCAAGAGGTCACCTCAAATGATTTTGAACTGGATTATGATAAGCACTGTAAAAATGGTGGAGATTAATGTATATTTATTATCATCCTACATAGGGATACATTTACAAATTACTTCAGATAATGACATTCAGAAACTTACTTTGCAGGGGAATTATTTTCTATTTCAGGTAACAGCATCTGGTTTTAATAAATATATCTTAAAGACAGTATAACATGTTCATTTCCGCTTCCAGCATCCCTATGGTTTGCTAACACATACCCTTCTGTGGGGCTCTTAAGAACTCACAAAGCACACAACATGTGTGAATCCGATCTAAAGGTCATCTGTTCATCCTTTGGCAGACAACCCTGTTGTGAAGTTTATAATGGATATGAATTGTATCTTCCAATCTAGTTTGCTTGTTTGATTTGACCAAGAACATAATGAAGTTGCTTGCCTAAGAGAGCTTGTCCTGGCTTTGATGCGATGGAAAGAACAGCTGGGGTGAATGCCACGAGCCGGAAGGTTAGAATTTCAGAACAAAGATTTTGCAAGATTTGGAGGCCTTCAGTTTAGACACAGTATCTTGCAAGGAGTTTTATATTCACAGTAAACAGCCTGCTAAATAACCCAACTGACCACTTAACTGGAACATTGCTTCTCCAAAACAATTATTACAATTCAAAAATCAATTCACGTGTAGCAAATTTTGTAGCTTACTATTATTTTCTATTTTTTATCCTTTTCTTTCTTCATTTAGAATTTTTTCACAATCTCTGATATTTCCAGTCTTATTTTAAATATTCGCAATACATAACAACTACCACTAGATGCTGGATCTTGAAACAAATTTTCTAACTCTTGCCCATTTCAAAACATTCTCTTCATGTTAAAAAAGAAAAATATTTTCTAACATACACTATACTAAATAAAACTGCTGTAGTAAGTACACAGTTAGAAATTAATTGCTTCAATAAAAGGAACAATGAATGACAATGCACCCCAGACTAAATTCTCACGCACCTATGAAAACAATTAGGACACAACTGAACTCTTAAATAAAAGCAACAATAAAGGAGCCTTGCTAATAGCAAGGGTAGTATTCAGGCTTCACTACTTAACACTTGTGTTCTATACAAAAACATTTTAGCAGGGTGTCACATCTCAGTGTGACTGAAGATTAAGAAATTTTGTGATATGACAGAGAGAAAATAAACTTTTCTTTCAAGCATTTTTTCATTAAGACCTGCCTCAAAAATTTCATCTTTTATAGAATGAGATATTTGGTTTGCTGAAATTCTAGCTCTAACAAAATTCCACAGATCGAAAACAATTACTTTTCTGACCAAGTTTTGCATGAGGGAAGTAGGCACCTACAATGTGCTGTTCTAGGAAGTATGAAGTTCTGACTGGGGAAATCACTACAAGAGCATCCTGATTTCAAGAAAGCACATGGCACAAGTATTTATCCCCACAAAAGAAAAAGGTTGGTGCTTTCAGGACCTGCAAGATGCATTTTTATGCACACACAGCTCCAATTTTGCAACAATCCATTGGCAAGCAATAAAGTTGTCTCATAGAAAGGTTTATTTTTTCTTCCATGACAATTTAACAAGTCGATTTAAAAGTTCACTACTTATGAAAATGTTCATATAATATAATACTTTAAGAATTGATTTTTTATCAAATGATTTTGAACCAAAATGAATACTTGATGCTTATCAGAAGTGACAAAATCACAATACAAAAGCAGAGGGAAATCACGTGAAATAATAATAATAATAATAATAATAATAATGATAATAATAATAATGATAATAATAAAGTATGTCTAGCAGAAGTAGTATGGAATTATAACTTTCTGAGATATGTTTGTTAACATCATCTTTTGGATTCCAAAGATCAAAATTTGCATGAATTATCAACAGATGGAAAGTAATAGTAACAAGATGCAAAATTATTTTTTTTTGTGCAATTACAGTATTCCACACAAAAATGAAAAAAATATTGGGTTTTTGCAATTAGCACCAATTTTTACAGTCATCTGTCCCATTACTTTCATTGAAACTACATAAAGTTCCAATCTGTACTAATATAAACTGAACAGCTACACTTCTTTTACTCTGCAACTATTCATCATAATATTTTGCAATCAAACCACTGATTCAATCAGTAAGAACCAGTTAGCAATCTCAATGTAAGGCTGTCCAATGAAATTTCCCAGAAGTTAACAATACAAATTAATATGAATACCATTCAAGAAAATATAATTCAAAGGACACTATGGATATCCATTAACTTCGATACAACAGAAAATTTAATTTGAAAGTCAAATAAGATAAAGAATGTAATAAGTGCTACTTCATTAGTACAAA